GTGCTAACCACCGTTTCACCTTGCATAAAGTCCAGGACCATTTAAGTATAAAACATCTGTGACATAGCAGCAATATCAAATGTAGAGACGAAGCTGCTAATGTTAGACAATCATCGGTTTTTCACATTGGCTAAATTTGTTCATCGGATTAATAGCGAAATATGAGAAAAAACATGAATATTGGCCGATACCGATGCGGTCGCCGACATATCGTGCATCCCTACTGATTACACAACAATTCTTCCAGTATTAACTGTTTCTGGCTCTGACAAATAATGCAGTGTTGGCAATATTTTCAATGCAACAGCACTTTCAAATCTGCTGGTAGGTTTTGGGGTTCAGAGAGTTAATAAAGCTAAAATTTTCAAAGTGGTGTGATTACTCTGTCTGGTGTGTGACTTATTGAGCCTCAGCTAATGATCCTTTTCATCACAAATTGGTTATTAATAATTTCCTTTTAAAGTCCTTGAATTTAAAACATTGCATTAAAAATCTCTCTAAGGCAACAGTGATGTCCTCAGTTTCCCTTTTTTTCTTGCCTGATTAAGATTCTTAACCCGAAGACAATGAATTTATGGTTGTACGTGAAAAAAAAACAAAACAACAAAAGTTATATAGCAGGAGCTGGGGCCAGACACTATTTGGCATTTAAATTAAATAATCAATAAATCAATTATTCTTCCTCCACTGTCATTTATTCAGAATGAACTTGTGCAGGCAGCGGTTTATGTAAAGTAGCCCAGTTGCCTGTAGCCGCCTCCTCCAGCTATGCCCGGGAGATCCTGGGTCATTCACAGAACAGAAACCATATATAATCCCTCCAGTCCCTTTTTTTCAAGTTGCCTGGAAAACCTCCCCAAGGAGGCATCCAGGTGGTCAGATAGCAATTAATTTTCTGTCAATCGAATAATCAATTTATTGACTAATTGCTGCAGCTCCGGTTAAAACGCCTCATGAGAAAATCATCAGAGCCTTCCTGTACTTACAGAGTCTTGATGGAGCGCAGAGGTGCGAACAGTCCTTTGCTGATGGTCTGCAGCTTGTTGTCGTACAGCGACAGCAGGTTGAGGTTCTGCAGGTCTTGGAAGGTGTTGACTCTCAGACAGTTAATTTTGTTGGCATTCAGCAATCTAAAACACGAGGAAAAGCCATTAACATTTGTTATTTATCTGCATTTGCTTTGTTTATTTTGCTTCATTCTCTCTCAAGAGAAACAAAAGATAAATGCACACGCAGATAATGAGAATTTATTTTTCTCAGGTGCATCTCAACCGCAAAAACCACTTCATTTCTCCCCCCCGTCCTCTTGATTCTCACCATTCCTTCCTCCGTGTCTCCCTCGTAGCCACCCACCCCTCCCTTCCCCCTCCACACACTCATAATTATATTTTTTCTGGCTGTGACACATAAATCTGAAAATTGTAGTTTTATACTTTTTCCACTTTCTCTTCTGGAGCAGGAGGGAAATATGTGCTGTTGGGTGTGTGAGCGTAATATCTTGTTTTGATGGGCGAGACAGATGGCGAAGGGGGTAAAGGAAGGAGGAAGAGGAGAGGCAGAAGAATGGAGATGGGATGGGGGGGAAATAATGGAGTGAGACAGTGAGGGGACAGGTGAAAATTTAATTTGGACTGACACAGATATATATTTAAGTGAAAGAGGCTGACAGGCAAAATGGAGGAGAGAGGCGACGGAAAATGAGAAATGTGATAGAGGGATTAAGTGAATGACAGGAAAAGTTTTCACCTATACCCCTCTCCCTCTCTCTCCATCTCGCTGTCCTTTCATACCTGCACTTCATTAGCTAATAAATCCAGGCTGCAAGGGGTTTTTTTCCTTCTATTTCTACCTTTCCTCTTCTCCCACTTCTACTGTCTCATTCGCCACCTTCTTGCTCTCCTCTCGCACTCACCGATCGCTCTTCCTTGTCTCTGTTACATTTTTATTTTGTCTGTCTGTCACACTGCTCCTTTCTTTCGTTGCGTGGCAGATGACTAACTTGGTGCAGCAGCTCCGCTTAATTGTCTCAAGTCGTCCTAACGAGCACCTGCACCAACGCCACCGACTTATACGTCCGCGCTCGCAGGTGATCCACGCACACACATGCTGCTCTGCGACATATCCACGCCTCATTAGGCAGCTCACAGGGGGAACTAATTACTTGAAACTGCAAGGCTAAAACAAAGCAGCACAGAGAATATAAACAGCAGACCAGTAGCTTTACAAAGCAGTAAACACAACGCTGACATGCGAGGCTCGACTCAGTGCTGAAGTACAATCCAGAATTATCACACGACATGGAAGAATCTTCTTGACAAACTGACCGACTTTTTAGTGATGGGAGGTTTTTCGTCTGTCAGAGGTAAAATATTAAAAGACATATTCCTTTCACGCCTGCTGAGTTGAGCGCCAACACCCCCAGGCAGTGTCTTTTTAGAGTAGACCAATGATGTGGCAGGGCAAGAATATTAGCGAGTCATTCACTACTTTATTTATTCGTCGAATGAACCAGTCACAAATGCACAGAATCGGTCTAGAATTATTCTATTAAGGGCGCATGCATGCATGTGTAAACTAATATATAGCATTCAGTGATTTAGTGTTCAACATTTTATGCCTGCAGCATTATGAGGTCTGGGGGAAATGCTTTTTGAATTGGGGCTGCTAAATTTTAATGATGTCACATCTTACATACATTGACACGAAAACACAAATTTGATCTCCCTCTGCTTCCCCCTTTGCTCTCCCCTCTCTAATCTTTCCTGCATGTATTTGTTTCTCCCTGTCTCTCGTCTTTCCTGCGTCTCTGTCGTTTTCCATCTTTCACTCTTCATCCATCCGTCCATTAATTTATCTATCCATCCACACCCCTCACCCGTTTCCCCCCCCGCCCCTCGTCTCTGCCTATGCACCATGCATTCAAATGATCCACCTAAGCCTGTAAAAAAAGGTGTTTGTGGGTTAGATTCACTCATCCTCATTCTCTTTGCTTCGCTTCACTTTACGACGGAAAAGCCCAGAACATTAGCTGCTTCTGCAGTGGACTGCGGCATTTGCGAGGACCATATGCCACATACAGTACTTATGTAGCTGTTACAGAAATTTTTACTGCATGCCGAACCACTGCTGCAGTTTGAATCTGTGCCCACGAGGAATAATTCAGAATAAATAGATGCCCTCCTAGAATACACCAACGCTTAGAAGTACTATGGGAGATTACGGTATTTATTAGAGTGGTGCACCAATTTGTTCCATGTTGAGCATGTTAGTAAAGACGTCTCTGCAGATGCACACACGTGTGATAAAGGACAGATGGAAGGTTAATGCATGGAGAGGGGATTCTACAGGAGTTGCTACTGTGCAATAGTGATGATTTCAAGGATTTGGTAATGCAGTACCTGATGTTCTCTTTCTCAACAAATTACTACCAAATAGAGCATTGGCCTTAACTGTGATAGCGTTCCAGAGGTGGATGTGGCTTGATACTAATGAATGTAAGTATATTATAGCACACTTACATGTATTTACTGTACAATATTTAAGGATTAAGATCTATACATTTTTGCCATAACAAAATCTGTAAGACTACAGGATGAAATGAGAAGAAACCGGCCGGTTAACTGGTTGCCAATCCATTTCAGAATTTTGGACCAGACTCTTGGAAAGCGCCAACAATGCAGCGTTTCCCAGGTAGTCCATCCATTATTTGACTGTGTTCTTTTGTTTACTGAATAATGTATTTTATTGTTTTCTGGGGAAACACACACATAAATTCAGGTACACACATAACAGCGGACGAAGCAGACAGTACTTACAGCAGCTGCAGGGAGACCAGTCCATCAAACAATCCCTTGGGCAGTTCGGTGATCTTATTGCCGTACAGCACCCTGCATAGGACAGTTCAGACAACATCGTGTAGGATGCAGTATTTACAAGGCTTTACTTACACAATAACACTTACAGTATGTGGTCTGGTGTGTGGCTTAGTGAAATACTTTCATTGGCTTTCCTGACAGTAATTCTGCTGCTACTGTTATTTCTTTCTCATACTTTGGCAGTTTTCATGATTCTGTTGAAAGGATTTGGCTTGTTTCCATTTCTCATGGAAGTTGTGTATTTTGTGTAATTTGCAGGTTTTACGTTGATGTCCTAAACATAGCACTGCTGCAGTATTGGTCTGCAAATATGTGTACATTTAAATCAAACACTCTTTGATGCTTAGATAGCAATGTGTTCAATTGACACATAAGCATCTGTAACGTCCATGCATCCCCAAATGTATTAGCTGAGAATAAAGTTGTTTTTAATCTAAAGATACAAGTTTTCACAAGTCATCATTGCTTTGATATAAAATCATTAGAAACTAGATTGTAAACTAAGATGCATTGTGTTATTACTGTATTTCTTTGCCCAGCCCTTCTTCCATTAAATCCATTACAAATATACAGCTCTCCAAAAAGCGAGGATGGGCATTAATATATCTGCTCAGAACAAAAAAAGTCATCACACTCAGCCAGCTGGAAAACTATGTTAGTGAGAAGCACTGAAGACGTGTTGCAATCAAAGACAAAAAAGCTGTCTGTTTCCAGTGAAAGGCGGTTTTAACCTTTTTATTATGTCTGATTGTAAAAAAAAAAAAACACACAGTCATTTCCACACCGAGGCGTTTCTTCTCTAAGCATGCTGTTTTGGACCATTTATCTCATTTGATTGTCAAAAACTGAAATTACGTTTGAGATGTGCTCCCAATTGCAGTTGCAATCATTTAATTCACTTGAGCAATTTTATATTTTGCTTCATCACGGCTCGGCGGGGCTCTGGTGCACAAGTCGTGCCTCTCGGTGACATTTCTGTGCAGCTGAATCGGCTGCAGGCGCACGCACGCATCTGCGTGTGTGCACGTGTGTGTTCAGTCTTAACAGCCAGCTGAGTTCACCTTGTCTGGCCCTTCTTGTCTGTCTGTCTGTCTCATTTTCATGCTCCAGATTGATTCAAATTAAACTGTCCTTCATGTTCTTATCACACTCACCCTCAGAGAGACACACACATACACTGAGTGATTACAGACACGTACAACTACACACACACACACACACACACACAAGCCCATGCAAACATGCACACTTGGCTGCATTGTGTTCCAGTTGTCAACATTGACTGGGACAACATTTTTATTTGCTTAATGTCTGGAAATGCAATTACCTTCCTGTCTGGATATGCGCTTGTGTACATGTCTGTGTGTGTTGGCATGTACGTGTGTCATACTTACAGTGAGGTGAGTGAGCGAAGACCGTTGAAAGCATCGGCAGCAATGTCAGAAATCTGGTTCTTACTCAAGTCACTGGAGAAAGAGAGAGAGAGAGAGAGAGAGAGAGAGAGAGATTACTGTAATACACAGTAATGGGGTTCATTCTTTGTGAATGTCCTAGAACTGTCTGACAAATGATCATGCGAGAATACATCAGCAGAGGTCAAGGCAAGGGGACAAGAGTAAAGAAAAAAAAAGTGTAAGAGGAGCTGAATGTGTGACTAAATGAGGGAGAGAGAGAGAGAGAGAGAGAGAGAGAGAGAGAGTGATGGACGAAGTGAGGAAAAACCTAAAGCGACAGGAGCGAGAGAACAAGAAAGAAAGAGAGAGAGAGAGGCAGTGAGGAACTGGAAGCGGTGGCATGTTAAGTGCAGTTCATGTCATTCACTTCCACAGCTGTAAGATATATTATTAAACGCTGCTGTTGAGGTGAGGCTGAAACGCCATCCGTGTGTGTGCGTGGGCAGTTGGGGTGGGTAACCTTACAACCTTGCACAAGTCTGCAAGTCGAGCATTTTCAGGCATTTGCATGATAAGGACATTTTTCTCCAGTAAGCTTCGTGTCTGTGGGTGTGTGTGAAAGACACGAGAGGAGACGAACTGTATGTCCATACTGGTGTGGACCGCAGGTTGGAGTCACGTCTTCATAATCTGGTAACATAAGCTCATGTGTTTAAAATTAATGTCCTAACTTTAACCAATTTGTGTTTGTTGAGGGACCTCAAGCTCTGTTAAAAGTAGACAAAAGAAAACCTGGTGGCCCCTGATGAACATACTGTACATATTTACACTCTACTATGTGATGGATATAATTCTTAAATTGTATGTAATGACCATGTCCTAATGTCATTTGATCAGATTTGTAGTTTAGATATTATACTGTATAGCATGATTACTGCTGATGTGAGGAGACGACTGAAGCTGTGGACAGGACCTTCTGGGGCCAATCACATTTATTGATTTATTTACAACCTTCAGCATTTTGAGTCTTTCCGTACAAGCACTGAAAATCGTATAAATGTGTGACAAAGCAGTAGGTTGGTTTTAACAAAGCAGTAGGTTGGTTTTAATGATATCTCAGCTAGAACTGAGTGTGTGATCGTCAGCGGTCTATCTGCTGGTTTAATGCACCTAACTTCAAGTTAATCCTCTCAACCCCAAGTGGGTTCTCATATTTTTACTTACTGTGGGTTCATTTGTAACTGTAATATAAAGTCCAGCACCTCTGGCTAGAAATAGAGGAATTAAAAAATGTCATATATGTAGTATGACACAGTTATAATGCCGTAAATCATAAGGATAAAAAATGGAAGCTGAATTTCTTATTTTTTCATCTTTGTTTAACAAAAAAAAAAAAAAAAAAAACTGAAATCAACTTTTAACACATTTTTCCAAGTGCCCAAAGGTGTGAAAAAAGGTGGCTCCACATGCTATAGAAATGTTACTCGTACAAATATTTGTTTTCATTCCAGTCTTCTTTGTGCTCGGTGCACACACAGTCGGAAGTTCAACCGAAAAGTCCCTGAAGAGTCTAACAGTTTTTGTTGTGAGACTCTTTGTCAAACCTGAGTCAATAATGATTTCTAGCTGTGATGAAGAGTGCCAGATGTTGTGACGTTTATAGAAACTGGTCATGGTTTTGACAAGTATCACAATCTTACTCTTTGGTTTGGCTATGTGTCGGGTACGTCATAGATGTGTATCCTGAGGACCGTCAGAAACTATTTTGGTTTTTAGCATTTTGGTGATTTTTTTTATGGGGTTCAGCGAGTTGAGTTTTCCACAGTTCCCCAGTGGTCCAACTAGAGCGATACCTGGCTAAAAGTTAGTTTAACTAATTAATTCAAACATATTATTGCACATCAGTCTGTTAAGTTATATCAGTGAATGCATGACTGAGGGTATTTGCATGTGCACACAGTTACATCCAGACAGACTTACATCCTCTTGAGCTTCTTGTAGGCAGAAAATGCTCCTGCTGGGACACTTTTAATCAAGTTCTGCTCCAAACGACTGGAAATTAAAACAGAGAGAGGGATGAGAGAGTTAGATGGTGTCAAATGAAATTTCACTAACAAAAATATTTTAAAAAATAATGAACACCAACATAAAATAAAACGATAATAAGAGGTGAATTGTGTATACACCTCCAGCAGCAGCAGCAGCACTTCATGCATGACATAGTAAGTTCATCTTTCTCCTTCAAGGTTATTATGAAGCCCTGTTTACTCCACAACCTCAGCCAAGCCCAAGTGCACAGAAAGTTCAAAAGGTGGCTGTTCCAATCAACATCTACACAATATTTCTGCAGGTTGGTCGGGGCTTTGCAGCAGAGTCTGGCCAAGGTCGCTCGGTGTGAAATGTTGACTTGAGTTTTGTAGCTCAGCACTAACGAGCTTACATGGGACCGTTCTGATGTGATTCTTAAAGAATCACAAGGCTGGTCTTGCAGCCAAAACCTGAACTGCTGATCCCAATACCTGTCTTTTTTTTCAGTGAGTCCCAGGCCAAAGTATTCAGGAAGCAGAGCAACACACGTAAATGCTCAACGGCAAAGCATAGCTGGCAAAGTGACGATATCAAACCTACTGTCCTCACAAGTTTTGGAGGGATCGTTTCATCGGAAGTAGTACATGGCAGCAGTTCACCAACAATTAGAATTTTCCAGTCATCATGTTTTATGTATTTATTTGGATGTTCCATAAATTCCTTTGATGGAGCCCCAACACTCAGACTGCATTTATGACATTCGAGGTTTCTCAGACTTTTCAGGCTAAAGGGCCAAAGGGAATTTATTACATCTCTTTTTCTGGAAGACTGCAGACTCATTACATCATCCTGGTAGTATTACTCTATTATCATGTGGGGACCCATCAGAGCTCGGCATAGAGCCCACATTTGGGTAAATTTACTACAGTTTAGTTTCTGCTCTGCTGATGGTCTAAGAAACAAATTCATCTATGTAGCTTGTGCACTCTTCGTGTCTCCTTGCTGTTGCGATGAAAAGCAATGAAAGAAGGAAGGAAGAACAGAAGAAACAGGGATGTAAATAAGAAAAAGGAGATGATAATAAATAGTCACAGGACTGAGACAGGAAATAGAGAAAACAGAGAGAGAAAGGCAGAGGACAGAAGGTGAGGAGAGAAATCATAAAAAAAGGGGAGTGGGAAACGAGGACAACAAAGGAGGAATCAGAGGAGTGGAAAAGTGTGACCAACAGGGGAGAGGAGAGGAAAAATTAGAGGAGAAGAGGAGGATGCAGTGAGGTCCCAAGGCCAGCAACAGGGTCAGCTGTCAGAATGATAAATGGAAACTAATCCACCCTTCTTCTTCTTCTTCTTCTTCTTCTCATCCTCCTCTTCAGCCACCGCCCACGTCCTCGCTTTTCTTTTTGAAATTCCTATCTATCTATCTATCTATCTATCTATCTATCTATCTATCTATCTATCTATCTATCTATCTATCTATCTATCTATCTATCTATCTATCTATCTATCTATCTATCTATCTATCTATCTATCTATCTATCTATCTATCTATTTCATGATATGGACTCAAAGACCAGCTATGATCACATTTTCTAGGATTAAATGCAGTTTACTTTAAGTTATTGAACCAATGTGCGGCATCCATCCAGCAGCAGGGTTTTTAAATGAAACGCTTACGTAGCTTTGGCTTTGAAAGCAACACAACCCTTACACTTACAGGTGCCTGTTTCTTGGCTTGCACCGCCCTCTAAATTTCAGCGCCTCACTCCCCTAGCAGCCAACAACACTTTATTTCAACTCAGGGGTCAAAATAAATCAAGAATATGCGGATAGTGACAAACCCAATCTGCACACACAACAAGTTACAAATTATATCAAGGGGGCAGTGAAACAAGGTTGGAACAAAGACACTTAGAGGCTCAGTGTGAAAGGATGCATTAAAGGGAAGACATTTTTAGATCAGATATAAAAAATCTATAAGGTGAGGAAGCAATTAAATGACAACTGAAACAGGAGATGAGTTTGGCAGGAGAGCAGACGCACAACGAGCCAAGTGTGAGCACACACACAGATAACAGCTTACTGACACGCATCTCTGTCGATGTTTTAACAAACTTAACACCTTGACAAAATGCAAAAACATTAAATTGCTCTGTGAGCTTTATATTTGACTCGAGGAGTCGAATTAGCACGCTTGAAAATGTAGTCGCACGACGTCAACACGAGCATACGCGCATTTGGCAGCGAGTCTTGCCACCGCCATCCAGAAAAATGACTTTGTCTCCATTAAAGGACTGACAATACATCATCCTATTATACGCTATTGTTTCTGGCTGCAGCGGCAACATTTATTATAATGGATCCAATGCTAATTCTGTGTGCGCCTGTGTGTGTCCTAGAGATTTTATAAGATGTTTCGGTACCTGTGGCTCAATCATAATGCATGTGTGTGTGTGTTTGACCCTCCCCGAGTGTGTGTGTACGTGAAGAACAAGCTCGTGTGTCTGTATATATGCGTGTGTGTGTGTGTGTGTGTGTGAATCTATTACTTATGCTGGGGAGGTATAGCGGTATTGGTGTAGAGTTGCGGAGGAGAATTGCTCCTTTACTCACAGAGCAATCAACCAGCTGTCCTCTGTACAAACAAACAGGGTACAGCGATCAATACGGATATCAAACACGTCCCTCTGTGCTGTGTGTGTGTGCATCTGTGTGTGTGTTTAAAATGGTGTGTAAAGTAGAGGAAGAAAATGAGAGTGAGAAGTGTAGAGTTCGACTGCAATATAAAACAAAATAGCACAACAGAACTTGCTGCAATTTGGGTTCCATGTAAGGTCTAATGAATCGCTGTATATCTAAGTTTGCAAAGATCACAGCGAGACGGCGTGTGTGTTTCGATTAAGTGGGGTTGCTTTTCATTTAACCTCCAGCTTAAAAATACATTTGGGAGAGAGGGTAGTGTTATTTATTTTTTACTTTTTTAAAAATTCCAAAATGTCTCCGTAAATAAACATCCCCTATCTACCATTCTGCACACGCGCACATTTGCATTTAACCGGCATAAAAGTAAACATGTTATGTTCAGTGAATAAATAAGAAAGAAAAAAAAAAAAAAGACAAATCACCACATGATTTTCTTGTGCAAAGCAAATAACATTCTGAGAATATTGATGTTTTAAACATGGGCACATCATTGGTATGTGGCTGGAATGGAATTTTTAAAACACATTAAATACAGTCGGGTTTATGCATCACATTGACAGTGTGAAACATTAAGATGCGTACAGACGGGTGACAAATTAAAGAAAAAACTTGAATGAATGAGCGGAGAAACACAACAATTACAGATGCTACTGTTTTTTTTAAATATAAAAAGAGGGACATTTATCATGCATAGCGAACCAAAAATATATCAACAGAACATTTATTTAATCTAGTATGAAAGTCTATAATGAATACCAACAAATGGTTTGCACATAATCTTTCTTGTTTGACCCCGAAAGACCTTCTATGTATGACAACATAAAAGTCCTGAATCGGGTTAAGTAATTAACATACAGTCAGACTCTGTGATGTGTAAAAAAAAAAACACTGCGCAGGCCCAGTTAATTCAGATTTTGTATCAAGACGGCAAAAGGAGAAGCTCTAAATGACTTTGACAGAGGGTTTAATGATGGGGCACAAATGGCAGGAGCTTCAGTCACAAAAAAATGCTCAGCTGGAAAGTGTTCCAAAGGGTGTCGTGACTAAAGGGACATCTGCGTTAATAAATAGGGTCAGACATTGTGGGTGACAGCTCACACTTGACGACTTTGTGCATTAATGCAAGAAACAACAGAGGAACAACTCTTCCTCAGTGCATTACGTACCTAATCTGTCAGCAAGAACAGTCCATTAATAATTACATAGAGTGGGATACTGTAGTTGCATAAACCCCTCATTACAAATGTGAATGCACATTTGAAAGTTCAGTAGTGCAAAAACACCACAGGGCCGACACAAGACGTGGAAAAATGTGCAAGATGGATCATCCTGCACCATATTCTTGACAAGAGGGCAAATGCATGTCAACCAAGACAACAGTAGATGTCTGAATGCTTGACCCCTGCTATGAGGCGATCTGGTGGTTCTGTAATGCTTTGGGGGATATTTTGCTGGCTTGGTTTAGGTCCACTTGTCCCCTCAGAGGGAAGCTTCACTGCTGATCAACACAAAGGAATCACCTTTATCCTGTGATGAAACTTTTATCTCCTGATTGGACACCTCAGAGAGACCGACATGTTGGACAGCGCTCTCCACTACCATCATTAAAGCAACAAATGAGGGAACAGCTTTTGGAAGAATGGTTTTCAGTCTCTCCAGTAAAGCTCAGGGACCTGAAGAATCTTTTGTGATGGCACATGGTGGCTCAACGTCTTACTAAGAAACTCTGTTGGTTTTTACTTTATTTGTCACCTGCCTGTACTCATTTAAAGCAGAAAGTATGTCTAAAAAAAGTGCTTAGCATGAACAAGATGTGTGCACGAACATTTGCAGCATTAAAAGTAAAGTAAAGCAGTCTTACATCTCCACAATGCCTTCAGGGAGGTTTCCTGGTATTTCAGTGAGGCCTTTACGACGACAGTCCACGATGTTGTTGTTACAGCTGCAGCTGGCTGGACACACGGCCACCTGAGGAACACAAGTCCTCGACTCTGTCTGTGCCGGACCTGCGGACAGCAATATACAGATACAAGAATGCAGATTCTGAAAGAAAAAAAAAATCCAACAGAGACTGGCTCCTATTTATATGAATATGAGAATAGCTTGGTTGGTTTACTGCCAAATACGAGGAAGAGAATAGGCGATGCCTCCATGCCTGCAGCTACATTTGCACTTGCATAAATTCTGCTATCATATTTTAGCTGAACTTTTATTTCAAAAATTCTTTGTGATGTTTTTGTATATTTTATCTGAATTTCTCCCAGTGGGATTAGTCTCAGTTTCAGTGGGGAGCTTTAGCATCCTGTGATGTCGTTGTGTTGTTTCTGAAGCATTTGCACTAAAATTCTTTGGAGAAAACATGCTATCTTTTGATATGAAACAAGAAGACTGAATATTAATGCTAAATACTATCTGGCGAAACTATGCACACAAACTACTGCAAGATATGGGCAGGAGGAGGATGGATGGGTGTGAGCACAGGCAGAGGGTGAAGAGAACAGAAGGGAAGAGGGGCAAATGGTGAAAGAGGGGATAAAGGGAGTAAGAACAGTGGAGAAGGAGAGAAAAGCCAGTTTAGTATCGACACCTGCAGCAAGACAGGGGAATGGAGAAAAGTGCAATGAGAGGTGGTCTGCTATGGAGCATGTAGGCAGAAAAGACTTAAGGCTAATAAAGAGAGAGCAGCCTGACAGTCTATTAGCACAGAGAGCTGAATCAGAGGCCTATAAACACTGCCTATACTATCTGCAGCTGATAACATTACTGGCTTTTTAGCTGATTACATGCTCGACACGGTGTAATTCTTTCAGCGTTATAAACTCAATGCTGAGCTGTCTGGAGACGATAACAATACCGCCTGTAATAATGGTCTTTAGGTTAACTACATTCTCTGTACGGTTAAACGTCAAAGAGTCAGCTGTCAAAAGCGTTGGATTCAACAGTGAACTTCTCCTTGACTCCACTCTCTAAATGATATATTATGTGCATCTCTGTTGCTAAATAGTTCGAGGTCAGCTTAGTGGCAGTAAATGCATGACTTTACAAGGATCGGTTCTCTGTCACAGTATCATAGTTCACGCATCAATACGATGTAGCTGCAAGGCAGACAAAACTGGCACATTTCTAAATATTTTCACAATTTAAAGCCAAAAAATTTAGTAAATAAACACCATTGAAAAGGAGTAACAATATGACTGTGACGTTCCACAACTCTGTGATATTTGAGTCAAACCTCGTCTATTGGTGTTAATGTCCACTCACCATTACAGACAAAATCCTTCTTCTGCACATCCGGGACGTTGAGGCCCCTCATGTGGGCGGGGGCCATGCACTGGGTGAAGGGAGCCAGGCCCCGCCGGGCTCGGAGCCAATCAGAGAGCCAGGACAGGTGACAGTCACAGTGCAGGTTGTTGGAGTGCAGACGGCTGTGAGGAAAAAATATTGTTCAATATTGAAATACTGTTTCAAATTAATGTGCAACTATCTGATCTGAACATTTGACTTTTGAAAGAAGCTCCATGAATCCAGAACACATTCGCTCAGGAAGGGAAAATTTAGCATTCAAATAGAGTAGGTTCAATTTTTCACACAGCTGACATCCTTGACCAGGATCACGAGTCTATTGCTGAACACACACACACACACACACACACACACACACACACACACATAAACAGGCGCTCAAAGACACATAGTAATATTCTCAGCACTCATTTCCCCAAGGTCTGTGACAATATGACTCCCTTTAGAGACAGGACACACACGGCTAAATCAGATTTATTCAAAAAAGAATATATATATATATATATACAGAAACAATGACAGTGAGACTGAAGAGTGAGGCAGGGAGAGATTGGAAAGGTGAGAAAATTTAATTTAATAGAAAACAGGCTGAAAAAAGTACAGAACTAATTGGACAATGTGAAAAGAGTGGACATAGAGACGAGAACTGAAATTAAAAAGGGAAACCGAATCAGAAAATGAGCAGAGGGAGACATGTGGGAGCAAATAAATGAATTGAGAAGATTTTTTTTTTTTTATATTATTATTTCTTTTGAGTATTTTTTGTCATTTTGGATTGTTTTTATTGAGGCTAGCTAAGAAGAATGAGATCACATGATGATGTCCTAAAGGGGCAGTTCACCAAAAAAGACGCATATTTTCATTTGATGGCAGACCTGTCACTAAGTTTTATCTGTATTCATTTCTTTTTTTTTTCCTCTCCGACTCGTACGTAACAGCATAACGTTCCCATTGTTTAAAATGTATGTATTGAATAAAAGCAATTGAAACTTATTTATCCAGAGTCCTTGTTGCTGGAGATAATTCACAGAACACACAGTTTTCATAAAGACTATTTCCGCTGACCTGAGCAGACTCTGGCACATAATGAAATTTATGTCCCACAGATGCTTCCATGGGGATGTGGAAACCATGAATTGGCACTTATGTTATACTTTGCGCTATACGTTTCAAGCACGTTTAATTAAATGCTATAGCCGAGTCTCCCATTGGGCAACGTCACCGAAGACACTGATGAGAACTGCCATTTGATAATTTCCGCAGTTTTAAGTAACACCTCACACTAATAGGCAGTTTAAATTTCACTTGAAGCATTAATTAACAGGTGCTGCTTAATATAGAACGCATCAGGTGTTCTTTCACGGAGCCGAGACTCTCTACAGGCTGCATTGGCTGCATTTGACACCTTAAGAGAGAAAGAGAGGGAGACGAGGAGGAGGAGGAGAAGGGCGGATGAACAGCAGAATGTCTTGTCAGCGTATTATATGCCAGCCGGGATATCTAGCCTTTCAGAAGACAGGCCTCCTTTTGTAATAAAGCAGAGGACAAATCCTGTTATGGAACAGAGATGGTCTCATTGATGCTAGCAGCGGGGGCAGTGGGTTTTAATACCGCTCTCCCATTATAAATCCAGTTTATAGTCAAACCCCCGCCTGGAGATAGCCACGTCCTGGCCCACCCCCGGCTCAGCCTTAATTACTGACAAGTAGGATTAAAACACAGGGGAGAATGGGAACAGGCAGGGGGTATGGAGAAAGTGCTGTGTTTGTGTGTACGTGTGTGTGTGTGGACTGTATTTGTGTGTCGCTGCAAGTCAGTGTGATTGTGTCTATTGGGCTTACTGGTTGCTGGTGACTAAAGGCGGTGGTTTGAAGAGTGTGCGTTTAATGTGTATATGTCTGTCACACACACACACACACACACACACACACACACACACACACCAGCGTATAAGCAGTGGGAGTTGTAATCTTTTCAGTGGTTCAAATTGCTGAATGACAGACACCATGATGCGATATTATTACTGCTCATAGACTACATGAGAAGAAAAAGAAAGGTGAAAGAAGGAGCACAAAGACATATGTGGATTATTAGGAGAGAAAATGTGGGAAAAATACAAGAAGAAACTAAATACATGCATCGTAACTGTATGAAGACATCACAGATTAAAGCCTTGATTGTGCTCCCTTGAGTATGTGAACACGGGCAGCTGCAGAGACCATGGACACATGATAGTTGTGGCTATTATATTAGTTTGTAGTTCGCTCGCGGTCCGCTGGGAGGACTGTGTTCCACGCATGCAGAGCAGATCAGCACGCACACTACAGCTTAGCGTGCACACTACAGCTGGCATGGACACATATTTTGGGCTGCAAGCTAACATCCATAGAAGGGTCCACGCAATCTCTCGCAGACTTGGTCAGATGATGAAATTTTTGTCGCCCTCGCACTCTCACTGACGTGGAAAATAGAACACTGGCCAAAGGCTACAGGGGAGGTGAACCATTCTATGTCGAAAGAAGTTCCCACATGCACATACAGATATTTTTACACCTGCTCAGCTAATCATATCAGGGACATCGCTGAACAGTTGACTGAATGAGTCGTTTTTTATAAAAGCAGCAAATTCAATGCAAAATTTATAAAAGAGAAGGAGGTGAGAAGGAGAAGAAGAAAGAAGAGGATGAAGAGGCAGAAAAGGAGAAAGAAATATAAACAGACAAGAGGACAGGAGAAGAAAAAGTAAGAGAAAAGAAGAAGCAATGAAAGGAATGCAGCAGGAAGAACAGAGTGAGTAAAAACATATTAAGGAAACAGTAAAGAGGAAAAAGGGACAGCAAAAAAAGAAATGGTAGACGGACGAGAAAGAATCGGGATGCAGGAACACTGAAGAGGAGAAAAGAAAGGGGGAGGAACAAGCAAATCAGAGGAGGCAGTCACTCATTGTTGACATAAAACAGAAGCAGACGAGGGCCTCTGATTAAAAAATATTGGGTATTGGTAAGTCTGCACTCAGCTGCCAACTGTGTAACTGGATTGTTGCCTGAAATCCAGCTTTAAATTGCAGATTTCGAGTCGTATTGCCACTAGTGCTCCAGCAGTCCGCTCAGAACAGGAACGTTACCATGTGACTGGCTGTTGACGGACGTTGTCGGTCAAGAGTTGAACAAGAAAAATGGTTGTAAAAGATAAACGAACGTCTGCAAAATGTTATCCTGCTTGTATGTAGACATGTTGTGTATTTAGAAATCCCTCATTTCTGAATGTTAAGCAGGGCTGTGCGACCACACCAGAGCCCCTTAAAAACGGTGATTTGGGAAGGAAATCCCTTTCTGTGCATGCTGGTTAGGCGGAATTCAACCCCAGTGTGGCCAGCAGGAATGCAACCAACGGTCTGCCTCTCAGACAGTCCCACGAGATTATGGGCAGAGACTCCCTTGAGATGTCATGCCATCGCCTTGGCAACTGTAAGATCTCCTTCACACAACTAAACAGAAAAAAAGCACACACACACACACACAAAAAAAAAACCCCCCCAAAAAAAAAACAGAAGAGCAGATGGCCCCGGGGGTGTGCGCGAAAACAAAACTCTGTGTGTGTGTGTTTGTATACGTGTGTGTGTGTGCTGACATCAGTACCATCAGTAATGGAGGTTTCCTCTAATGAATCAAAGCAGATTGAACTGTAGAGCCTAAACAAGCCTTTCTTGTGGTATTAATGAGGTTACCATTACTCAAGTGTGCATGCGTGTGTGTGTATCAATGTGTGTGGTGAATGCACATATTTGTCACTGTATCCATCTCCCTGTGTGTATCTGTACATCTCTTTGTGTGTTTGTAATGGCCACATGATTATTCACAGTCATGAAACAATAGAAGAGTTGGTCTCTTATTATGGCATGATTAGATGATCACGCACAGACTCTGCTGCCATGATGTGTGTGTGTACATGTGTGTGTGTGTGTGTGTGTGTGAAAGTAAAGATTTGTGTTCAGTGCATGTTTGCGTAGGAACTAATACCACTGTGTGTATGTGTTGTTGTGCAACCACAGAGTGTGTGTGTCAGCATCTGTAGTATATGTTTGTAATTTTCTGTGTGTGTGTGTGTGTGTGTGTGTGTGTCTCTGTGCGTTATACTCACAGTGTCCGCAGCTTGGGCATGTGGTTGAAGCTGGACAGGGGGATGAGGGTGATGTTGTTGTTGTTGAGGGTGCTGGACAGGGAAACAGAAAAACTGATTGTTAGAAAAATACAGTCTCGGTGCCACTTATTGGTCTGACGGTTAAAAATGTCAAAATAAGTTTGGTCCAAAACGCATGTTCAAATCCTTTATCCCATTTTTCCCTTAAATTTTACAGTGAAAACTTTATAGTTTGAAACTTTATAGCCTTACTTGAATAAGTAAGATCAGACAATAAGGACCTTTGTCTATGACGCTGGTTCCAACATGTGAGTCAAGAACCCTGAAAGGGACGGCAAGATAAATTTGAGAGGACTTAAGGGAATAGTAAAGAAATTTTGCAATGCCAAATTATGTTTACTTTTGCATAAAAATATCACTTGCTATTCCATTGGATGTTCATAGGTTATGACACACAACATTAAAACTGACAAGAAGAGTGGACGTTGCTTTATTTTGAGTGGATACACGTCAGAAAACCTAAACAGTAATAACTGACATGAACCAACATTTTTTTTGCTTCTAAATAAAAAGTCACAAATGAGGCAGAAAACAATTTCCCTGCCATAATTCAAAGCTGATTACCGTTTCATACTGTAACTTTTATTGAAGACCAGTTTTGGATTTGACTCCTCTGGTTGTAAAAATGATTCTGAGCAATTTGTTTTAAGAGCTTTAAGATTCACCTCATATACTGGAGGCACAAAATGACCACAGGAAATCGTTTTATTTAGTTTATTAAGAAACTAATTTACTGTTACTGTGGAGGAGATATTGTTCCTTTGTGTATTTTTTATGTTTCTGCCTTACTTCTGTCAAAATGTGTTTTTCTTTATTCGACTTGAGGACAGAGAATTTAGGAAGATAGAGAAACTTTAAAGCCCACTAAGACAGATGTATAATTTACATAAAGCTGACGAGACTGGAATTTAGAATAAGCAAACATCCCTGGTTCGATTTCAAACATGATCAAAACTAAGAGAGACAGCATTTCTGATTTCTGACCTTCTGTTCAGGGTGCCACTGTTGTCATAACATGGAGCTCGTTATTTATGAACACACACACACACACACACACATATATGAACACACACCTCTTTGATATGTGCTTGTTCTTCTAACTCATAACCAGGTCACTGCTGTCTCTGACTATTAGCTCTCTCATAAACTACACTCTGTCTCATATGTAGTATCGACCTAAAGTGAAATGAAAAACAAGGTTGACTGTCATTACAACCAAACACACACACACACACACACACACACACACTCCCAGTTGGTGTGTTGAAGAAACACAACACTTATTGATCCTCTCTGGATTTTGTATATAGAAATGGAGGCAGAAATGAGAGGAGAGAAAAAAAAAAAAAAAAACATGCAGAAAAGATGGGTTTTCCATCAAAGCGATCCACAGGGGGATCTGATTTCATTGATGGACTCATACAAGCTGATAAAGCTGCATATACAAAAACATTTGCAGGGTGGGGGGATACGGCAGAACACAAGCAGCTCCCTCATCATGTGCTCTTTAAAAAAAAAAAAAAAAAGACGCACCATATAAAAGCTGCTTTGTTGTTTCCTGATACGAGAGGACAACTTATACCATAGCTGACAGCAAGAAAACACCTTGCTCGTACTGTTAGAGAGTGAAGGTGGTGATAAGTGGAGGTAATGCAAATGAGCTACTGGTCATCCATCAAATGTAATGAAGTAAAAGGAATAAACGGCTAAAGTTTGAGGTGTCAAAGATTTCTTTTTTTTTTTTAAAGGTCTATCTAAAAACGGATGATGAAAATAAACAGAGAAAAAAAAATCCAAATTGATCTGGTGAGAAATACAACATTATACAGCAAAAATAACGACCCCTCATTAAAACCTGTGAGTCTGTTCAAAAAAGCAAGTCAAATTTTTACAGAAAACATTGAAAACACCAGTAAATTAGAGATCCGTGTTACATTAGAATTTCTAAAATTTATACTCCAATGTAATTTTTCTGGTGGCGTGTTGAAGCCAACGTCAACACCAGCTAGTGTAACCCCCTTTTCTTTGTTTTTGCCCAAGTTTCATGGATCATTAATTTCACTGGATAGAAAATAGGGCTAGTTTACTTTACATATCACCCGAAACCTTGTGTATTCAAAGAGTCATTGTTTCATGAAGAATGAAGACTGAGCGGCCATTTTTTATATCTGAAACCCATTCATTTTTCACATTTGACAGTGTGTTTTTAATGCTTTCAGACAAGGACAAGGTCAGATTTCTCTTTGAGAAATGGCCCAAATTCAAGATGAAAGGGTTTTTCACAGCATCTGCAATATGTTTTTGCCTAAACATACAGTGTGACCGCGGTCCGATTTCCCCGACAAAAATCAAGGATGGTTTATTTTACATGCTGCATTGTCGTCACAACTGTTCAAAATAGGTTCATTACTGGGGGTTTGCTGTGTTTTCACTAACACCCACTCAGCCTTAAAATAGACTGTTTTTGCTTCACTCTGTTGATGTTAGTACTTTCCTTTCTCTTTAATTCGCTCTCCTTCCGATTCTCTTTCTACGTTCTCCTCCCTGCCAGTATAGCCTCAGTGGCCTTGGTAGACGGATAAAGTTTCACACTCACTCTCACATACACATGCACACATTAGGAGCGCTGCTATGGTCAGCCCTGTCAGGGGTGATTCCACCCAGTATATATAATTTAATTGTGGAATAACAATAATTTCCCTCTGCAATTTCCCTGTCAGTTATTCTCCCACTCACTCCGTTCAGCCCCCCTCCACATCTCTGTGCCTTAATAAAGTAGTGACTGGACAGACCAAATCCAAGATAAACACTAAAAACATCATTTGGAAGTCCACAACTATGTTTTATACTGTGGCCATTTTTCCCAGCTTATTTTACACGCCTCTGGCCATGGTTACACTCTTAAAAATGGTACATGCGCTTCAGTTTGAAGGGGTCGTAAAAAAAATATGGCAAAGATTTCACCAAGACAGGAATCATTGCAGGAAGTTTGTCCTTTAATTTTGACAAGATATACAGGATCCAGCTGGTACACATCGAAACTGTCAAGTGCAGACTTTGATTAACTATTGTTTAATAAAACCTCCACAGGTCACCTCCATTTTGTGCAATAAAGTCAACTAAATTGAACACTTATGAACAATTGAATTGTGCCAAGCATTTGTTCCCACAAAAGACACACAGATGGGACTAAATAGCTTATTTGAAAATTATAGGTGCGTTATGAAATTGACAGAAATGCATTTTTTGTTTCACAGTGTGACAAGCACAAAGTGATACACACATTAATCAGCCCCAACATTAAAAAACCACCTGCCTTATATTGTGTAGATCCCCCATGTGTTGCCAAAACAGCTCAGACCCATCGGGTCATGGAAACGAGACCTGTGAGAGTTTCCTGTGGTGTCTGGCGCTGAGACGCTGGGAGGGGATCTTTTAGTTCCTGTGGGTTGTGGGTTGGGGCTGCCGAGGATCAGGCTTGTTCCAGCGCATCTCATGGATGTTTGATCATACTAGGAGGAGTTTGGAGGCTGGGTCAATGCCCTGGACTCTTGGTTATGTTCCTTAAGCCATTCTTAAGCAGTTTCTACGGTGTGGCAGGAGGTGTTGTTTCACTGCGGGGGTGCACTTCGTCTGCACCGATGTTAAGGTGAGGGGCACAAGGGGAACGTGGCAACACATTGAGATGATCTTTGTCGTTCGCTTCAGTTGTCAGTGGTTTTAATGTTGTGGCTGATCAATGTGAGCTACGCGGAAAAGGCCACAGTGGTGGACACATTTAGTCTAGGCCTTTAGTTTTACAGTACAAAGTATCTGACTGGTCCAAACGCAGACTTTCCACTGGGTTTGCGCTCCGCCTTATGTCAGTCTAACCTTTGTAATCCTGCAGCCTTGACAAATCCGAACACACCAAACTGTAACACAATGTGCAAACCAGAACATTGTAACCATGGTCCCACTTACAAATGTTTCAAAACTGATGTTATATGGTTAGGAAAATATTTCATGTTCTGCGAATTTGCATATGAGCTGACGTTATGCTTGGAAGAAGAAAGCTTTTCTTTTTTTTTCCTGGACTTTGTGTCTGTTGGTGTAAAGGAGTCGATGATACTGCTTCATGCAACCTTTAGAATAATGAAGCTATTCACACAGCTGTCTGAACATACATTCACGGATCACACTTCTGTCTCTCGGGGGAGTTCTAAAGAATCTTAATTGTGACATTTTTCAACATGTGTGCATCAGAAAATCATGAGTAGATATACGTCTCCAAGACGGGATCCAGAGTAATTTAAGTTTTGTCCATTAAAGGCTCAACTTTTGTGCAATCATTTTGGAAAGTAGTATGTTATCCGTATTCAATCATTTTAAGGAGGGTTTTTTCTCTTCTTATATTTTATTATGTGCCCTGTAGAAAAAAAAAAAAACTAAACTCTTAGTATGCGTAGACTTAAAAACAGTTTTACTTGCAGAGCTGTAGACAAATTATTTGAGAAAAGCCTGTTTGAAATTCTTTTTGCAGTCACAGTAAAAGAGAGCTCAAGGACTGATCCAACACTGGTGTTTGCAACACACAATGTTTCTATTATAAAATGCCTATTCAGCTAAATTTTTTTTTTTTTTCTTTTTAATTTGAGATAGGCTGCAGTGACCGCTGCAGTGGTATTGCAGGATAGATCCATGATCCCTGCACGTGTGTGTGTGTGTGTGTGTGTGTGCGCTCGTTTTATGTGTGTATTCTTGAGTCAGCATGTACATTCTTGCGTGCCTCTGAACGTGTGTGTGCCTTCGATGCAGTGATCTCTCTGTTGCAGTAAAAGGGCCTCTGCAGTCAGTGATGGAGGAGACTCTTTAGAGGCAACCCACCAGGGAGATGCTATCGCGAGTGTTTGCGCGTGTTTGTGTGTCTGTGTGTGCGTGCGGGCAGAGAAAGAAAGCGATGTTATCATATGTGTCTTTGCCGCAGCCTACACACTGAGGTCAAAGCCTCAGTCGTCAATCCTTCCTCCCTC